TCAGAAAATGCTTAGCGCGTACGTGAGGCCGCATGCGGAATACGCTATCCAAGCATGGCAACTCTGGCGGAAGCTTTACCCCACCGCGCTCGATACTGCATAAGGCAGGACGACGAAGAACCTCAAAGGCTTTCTCCACCTTCCATACCCACTCAGGCTGAAAAGTCTCAAAATTGTACAGCGGACGTAACGGCATCTACGGAAGGGGGTATCATAATGGTGCATCACATCCTAAGAAACCCCGACTACACATGCCACTATCTTTTGAAACCCAGCCAAAACACATCTCCGAAGATACCTCAGTTTAAGTTGGTCACACAGTACAGCCGACATCTACTTTACCGATTCCAGGATTTACACATGTAATTATCGACCCGGTGATTGTGTTAAGGAAGTTACTCCCAGTGCGCCATCACAACTCTCCGGGAGCCGACAACATCTGCCCGCAATCACAGAAGGCTGTGACCAACAAGTTGGCCGAGCCGCTGTCACAGCTCTTCCAAAGACGCTTTGATGAACAACAAGTCCAGAATATTAGGAAGTATGGCATTTTTACTCTATTTCTTAGGCTGGCAGCCGTTCAAGCTCTGCAAACTATCGCTCAATGACTCTTCTCTCTCTGCTCCCGAAGGTGATGGAAGCGGTCGTCGCCAAAGCTCTAATAAACCAATTGGAAAATTGCAACGTCTTGGCACATGAGCAGCATGTCTTCGGCAACACCGGTCATGCACCAACAACCTGCTGATGGCACGACGTAGTTGGACGGAAGTGGATGATGATGGGCTCGGAGTCGACGTCACTTATCCGAAACTTTTCAAAGCTTTCGATTACCTGGATCACCGCATCATGCATCACAGGCTACAGAGTTACGGAATCGGAGGTCCTGTACTTGGATGGATTGGCTACTTTCTTTACAAACAGAGGACTTAAATGGGTGTAGGCGGATAAGAATCCAACACGAATGTGGTGGGATGTGGCGCCACACAGGGTAGGCACTGCGAATGTGCTTAATCCTCGTGTTTACCAGTGAACTGGCTAGAGTTATCTGTGTCAATTTTACTTATAGACGACGAAGTCAATATCATCCTCAGCAGCAACATCATAAATGTATAAAAAGTAACATGATGCTAAAGTCACATTAGTATGTTTGTTGGAGCGGGAAGCTGAAACGAAAGGAAGTAACAAAGATGGACACAACACAAAAGTTACTGAGGTCGGCGCTTCGCAATGTCAGGCAGTTTATCCAACCAAAGGTGTTCATACTCATTCGGACCCAAGTCAGTCTGTCAGGAATCACTAACCGACGCCGACTTCGAAGTGATGGACTTTCTTCCTCTCACCCGAGTCATCGCTTGGCCTTCCCTCCTCTTCATTCATCCATACCCCCGGCGCGCAAACAACGCCCGTCGTGGGAGTCGGTGGGCTGGCATGCGCAACATGTGGCCCAGCCATCGGAGCCTCGTGACTGATATAACGGTGCTGGGCGGTTCACTCGCTATTCATGCACCAAATACACTAAACCGAACATGCTCATTGCTCACGCAGTGCTCCCACCAAACATGAGCTAAGCTGTGAAGGCAGCGATTGCATTTATGAATGGTCAACCAGGAACGTACTCCAGCTGAACACAGCAAAGTGCAAGGTGATCCATCTGCGTCACCAGCCGGTGAGCGTGTAAAAGCTTAGAGACCACACCTTGCAGAGAGCCCTGCATGAGCGTGAGTTGGGTGTCTGATATAAGACGGTCTCGGATGCTCATAACAATCAGAGAGGACGTCGAGAACCGGCAATCAGTACTTTGGCTTTCTTTGCAGAGCGTCCGTTTGGTTTGACCGATTACTTTCCACAAATGCTTAAGGCCTACGTGCGACTGCACGTGGAATACGCCATCCAAGCGTGGCAGCCGTGGCGGAAAGAGGATCTCGTTTCTCTCGAGACTCCTCATAGGGAGGGCGACCAAGAACGTTATGGGTCTCTTCCATCTGCCCTATTAGCTTAGATTGAAGTCCCTACAAATGTAAAGCAGGCGATATCGGCGTTGGCAAGGGGGAACTCATAATGGTCTTCCATATTCTGAAGAACCATACCACATTTGTCGCCCACTGCTGGAGCTGAACCACAACGCTAAACTAAGAGGTCGTAATTTGAAACTGACAATACAGTATAGTCAGCTGGGATGCCGTAGAAACTTCTTCTCCCTCCGAGTGTGTCAGCTGTGGATCACTCTCCAAACTCATGTCGCTTCTGCCCCCAATCTAACAATATTTAAAAGAGGACTTGATGCATTGTCCCATTGGAATTTCATTTTATAACTTATGTTAGCTAGGGGATACAAAACGCAAGCAAACGGTGTGTTACTAAACTATCAACCAATGGATTTATGAATTTATACTTTTAGCAAACGAACATCAGCTTTATTACATATGATTATCAAGAATTTTTAGTTTCTTCACGATTTCCACCCCACGCCATCATCATCATCCCGCGGGACCTGTTAAGCATTGCCTTTCTACCCGTAATATCCATTGTTAAATTTTTAAAGGCACGTAAGTAGCATCAGTTTCCAGTTCCAGCACGGTTTCTGATTTGGCTCAGGTGGAAACGCTTTGTCCAACTTTCAAGCGCGTTACCTCTTATGGTTGGCGGCATCCGGTTTCGCATTTGACTGACACTGTGGCAAGCCACAGGGTGCTTGCGCCTACAGAGGGAGCATGGGTGGCCTGCGCTGCACCACCCACAGCTCCAACCACACACCCCATCTCCAGTGTAAACCCGAAGGAATAAGACCGGGAGGCATGTGGATGGGAGCCACGTTTCATCAACGGCGCCGGCCCATACTACTTCACAAACAACCACAACCACGCGGTATTTGGGAATCAAGCGCACACACAAGGCGGTGGCTGGACCGCAGTCCGCTCCACACTGACTGTATGGAACCACTCTTTGATCTTAACACGGCCACAAGGACCGTGCACCCTGTCCCCTCCAGCAACGACCAACTGTCTCATGGAACCAGTATGGACGGGGAAGTGGGTTATAGACAGGTAGGCACCTTGTCAACATGCACATCAAGCGCAGACACACCGGGGATATCGAACAACAACCAAGCACTTGAAATAACATTAGCAAATAAAATATATATTAAGTTACCACTTATATATATATAAGTGGTAACTTAATATATATATATATATACCATATATTTGTACCAAATCAAGTAGCGTGTTTAGAAACATCTAAATCCCAATCTACGCTGTCCCATACTGACGGTCTTGCCGATTTTGTTTCCGAAATAGATACGGAAACCTTCGACTTCGATCGCGTAATGGAGGACAAGCGAAAGTGCTCTCATGCCGTCGATCACTCCCCTGTGTTTGGCTGTTGTTTGATATCACCGGTGTGGATGCGCTTGATGTGCATGTTGACAAGGTGCCTACCTGTCTATTACCCACTACCTCGTCCATACTGGCTCCAGGAGACAGTTGGTCGTTGCTGGAGGGGACAGGGTGCACGGTCCTTGTGGCCGTGTTAGGATCAAAGAGTGGTTCCATGCAGTCAGTGTGGAGCGGACTACGGTCCAGCCACCGCCTTGTGTGCACTTTATTCCCAAATACAGTGTGCTTGTGTTTGCCTGTGAAGGAGTGTGGGCCGGCTCCGTTGATGTAACGTGGTTCCCATCCACATGCCTCCCGGTCTTATTCCTTCGGGTTTACACTGGATATGGGGTGTGTGGTTGGAGCTGTGGGTGGTGCAGCGCAAGCCATCCATGGTCCCTCTGTAGGCGCAGGCGTCCTGTGGCTTGCCACAGTGTCAGTCAAATCCGAAACCGGATGCCGCCAACCATATATATACATATATATATATATATATATTATAATTGAGGGAAACACCTGTGTTATGATTGCGTAGATGCCTGATAAGATTGTCACTGGCACGGTTGGAGCACGCCTACGGTAACGGCTGGGAGTTGCGCTGACCTGACGGCGTTAACTTAGCCCGGGGTACGCGCTGGTGAGACGGAAATTGAGCGAGGATGAGAACGATCCTAGCCGCACCTATTCGGATAGACGCTGAGCCCTCGGAACGAACGCACACTAGAGGGGGTTATGGCAGACGCGCACTAGTGACTTAGACGCGAAGCTGGCCGGCTAACGACGCACACAAAATCACGTGACCGACCGACCCCCAACTAAGGCGAAGAGAAAGAAAGGCAAGTGGTCCTCTGAAGGCTCTTTTACGACCAACAAAGGGCATATCACAGCCAATGCTGTGGGTCATTAAGTTAGGGAAAATTGCTACCACGACGAGGTGGGATTTTGTGAAAGACCATTGTCGAAAGGTTCGCAGTTGGGCCGCGTCTCGGAGTGGCTGAAGGCTGCTGCGTTGTGGGGAGGAATTGGACCTCGCTTTCCACAGCCATTCTGCGGGGGTTTCTGGCGCGTTTTTGCGGAAATATCTGACGGGCCCCCAACTATATATATATATATGTATATATATATGATTACCGTGTGGCAATGTGCTTTACGTGTACCTCTGGTGAGTTCTAGTTCCACCATTGACCAATACGCCCATGCTTTACAGGTGTTTCAATAGGATTTGTGTGGTACTTGTAATTAAGTATCTTTTCTCTCAGATCCCATTTAGTCTGCTCTACTGCAACGGAACCGCCCCTTGAGTCGGGCCCGGTTGTGAGCTCCACTTTTCTCAGTATCAGGAACGATTAGCAATTTTATAAGACAGACTGAGGCTGAGATATTTGAATCCAGGGAGCTCTGTCATAGATTGTAGTGAAGATGACCAGATCTACGATGTCGCGAGGAAGCAAAGCCAAACGCGACAGAGCGTGATCACTCGGCTAATTTCCATTAGTGGTGGATAGAGAGAATGACGAGAAGTTATTCTTTACATAAATGTGTAGAAGATGCAGTCCGAGAGCAGAAACGGAGGTGCATGTGATGAAAGAGGCAAATATATGTCTGCATACTTTAGAGGTAAATAAGTTAGTCGTTTTCAAGCAAAGCATCTGAATGAACACGTGCTTGCTCAATCACGTGATGAAGCATATGAGCTTCGAAAGAGTTTTGGTTATTGAAAGTGGCGTGGCAACGCTGACAGGTGCTTTTCCGAGGTTCAAATAAGGAAGAATGGATCAGTGGGACTTTATCAAGCACTTGGTTAGGACCTTGAGGGAGGTGCAGTGGACAGCGTTCCATCGCATTGGCTGTCGTCTGGTTGTTGCCAGAATCTTCGTCATGCCAACCCAGTATAGTTCGCACGCTGAATGCGTGTTCTCTGCAATGTTGCGGTTGCTTGGTTGCATTACGCCCGTAAACGCTATCTAATCGTCGACTGTTTATGGTATCATCATCCGGAGGTCCCACAGGAATGGTACGACCCGTTTCCACCGAATGTTCGGTCAAGCTCAGAGACTTAGTTGGCATCGCAGCTGAACTGTTTGCCAAATCTATTAGCCGCTTTCTGCAGAACAGTCCGAATTTCGGCTTAGTGATACCACTTTGCTGTTTGACTGAGTGTACCTCTGCTGAATTCAATGTGTCCCTCGGTTTGTGCCAACGTCGGTGACTCGCCAAATTGGCAGGACAGTTAAATATCTGAAAAGATAAAAAGGTGAGAAGTCGGGTGGCTCAACGGAACTGGATTCAGGAAGGGCAACGTTACGGTCATTAGTTACATCTAATCTCTGAGACTGCTCTTTGAGTAGTACCACAAGTAAATATGGAAGATAACAGATTCTACACCTTAAAGCGTATTCGTTTCCAACTAGGGAGTTGTACACACCGAGGGTTTGGATTTGAAGAGGAAGATTTTTCTGTCAGAGTCACAAGCTACAGAAAATGGTGAATGATACATTGAGATAACCGATTAGAGCCAATGATAACCTATGAAGCACAGGTAGCTGAATGTGAACATGGAAGCCTGATTCATTGTTAGTCAAGAAACGGAAACAATGTCGGTATAAGGTCTAAAATTCTCGAGCGTTGTTCAGTGGTGAATGCCGAGTTACAAACATGCGAGATGAAAGTGATGGGAGGCGCGTTGTAAAATCAAAATAATATTTGATACTGAAAGCAACATGACGCGAAGCATGGTGATGGAACCTCAAAAAATGGATTACTTAAAATACGTAGTATTGTGGGGAGTTTTCGGTGCAACTGCGACCGGGCGACATGACCCACATTGGCGGACACGCACGTTATTGCGGCTGGGCCTTCAGAATAGCCATTCAGACATATCACCAGATGAAAGGTGGAATGCCCATCGTGAAGGCATCCAGTATACTAGATCAGCCCCATAGTGATACCGAGGTCCCCGAGTGTGGGCGATTTAATGTTGTCCTATTAAAAATATTGCAAGACCCGTTTCTCCTATCCAGTGCATATTTGTGAAAATGCTTCCTGCATCAGCTAACATTACCATCATTATGAAGCAAAAGATTTTCGATAGTGACCGTTCTGACTGTTTGAAAACGTGCTTTTCTGGCACAAGCATCCCTTCCCATTCTGTGCTGGAAACAACCTTAGGCTGAATTTCAACCTAGAAATGAATCATCAGTATCAACTTGACTTCCCCTGCCAATCAGTTCGGAGGAGATCCTCAATCCCCATCCCCAAAGGGTGGATCCCACGGCAGATAGGGCGATATTCAGTGGGGTCAGAATGCATTAGCATTGAGCAAGGTAATTCACACACGTATGACGGAAAGTGCTGTCTAAAAGGGTAGTAAGAGAGCAAAGCAGACCGATAGCGTCAGCAGTGCCATGAGCCCACTACAAAGCATTGCCGTGAAAACGCGTGTGGGGATGAATCTTGTAGTTTGCGCCATCGCCTCTTTAGGCGCTGGACAACTGGATATGGCAAACTAAGATGGTAATATTGTCAGGGGTCCCCTGGTGCTATCAATAACCGGACGTTCCACACCTCCGATCCATCAGTTGTCAGACGATTGCACTGCTATAGCAGGCTACAGACAAATATGAACTGTTATATATTCCGGACTTACAGATTTGCTGTGCTCAAATTTGTGTCGCGGGTTTGAAAATCCAGGACTAACGGTAGTGTGAATTCCGTAACACAAAGATAAAAGTAGTCTTACAGCAGTACTAGCAGAAAGTGGAAGGGCGATGAGACCAAACACTCGCACGTGGTTAGTTTCATGCACACATCAGCTACATTTGCTGGTCTCCAGATCACAGGAATCACTACCGCAGGTGAGAGAGCATCTCCGCTGGAATGCGCCAAATTCATCGAAAGTGTAGATTATACCCAGCAAATAATCAATACCCGATGCAAATATATGCAGATTATTTCAAGATCTGGAGAGCTATTCGCCAGACTTACGACCGTGCGCATCTGCAGAACGATTTGGACCGGATTTACGTATGGGCAGAAAGGAACCAGATCTCCCTGAAGCTTGCAAAGTACCACTCGCTAACACTGCACAGAAACTATAATATTTTTTGGTTCAACACGTCCTACAACATGTGAGTAGGGAAAGAGACTTACATATCATCGTACAAGAAAGTCTGGTTACTTCACTGCAATGTACGAGGGCAGCAAATGTGGTAAACTTGAACTGAAGGCCTTTAGGTCGAACTCTTGATGGCTCTGTGCGAAGGCTGGTACCCTTGATGATTAATTCGTATAGTCGTTCCCAGGTCGAGTATATGGTTCAGGCCTGGCGCCTATGGCTAAAACTAGACATTGGTCTCTTGGAGTAGCCCCAAAGAAGAGCCCCAAAGACAACACGTGGACTATCCGGTCTCATTTATAAAATGTACATTCAACCGGTATGTTCTCCGCAGAATACCGACAAATCCGCTGGGATCTCATTCTCACATACCGGATACTATGAGAAAACGATCATCCATGTAAATCGCTACTGATTCTATCCCCTCAAAAACAATCCTGAGACCACTACCGGAAAATAATAACTCAACATTCCATTTTGGATTGTTGAAAGATTGCTTACACTCTTAGAACTTATTCACACTGAAATACACTGCCGGCACATATGATGAACGCACTAAACATCGTGACATTCGAAAGCTATTAGGTTCATAGAAGTGACAAACGATACACAATACTATGAAAGTGCATCGTATATACTACTGATAAATTACGTGCCACGCAAGAAAACTTTGATTTTTTGCATATGTTTTCCCTTGGGTCTTGTAAAGCTATTGCATTTATCACAACATGCACAATTGAACCAGCCTTATTTTGAGCCTGGCAGTAAAGGAATCAAGGTGAGATCGTGAAGGATGGCAAAACCTGATACATGTCAAAAATCTCTATCGACAACCTGTTGTTTTCACGCCATATCAATTGTATCTCGACACGTTTACTGTGGCTGAGTTGACTTAAGCCGATTCCGGTGCAATTATACACACGATGGCTCGACTACCTTCACTTTCACATTTTCATAGCGCCCGTATTCAACGCAATGGTGTAACAGCGTAACGGAGCCATAAAGTGACACGGGCAAATGTAGTTAAGCTAGTAACAAATAAGACGACAGCGTCCGTGCATTCGACAGAGGCATTCCACTAATCCGTGCTCATAAAACAGTGGGACGACTTGCATGCACCTGAAGTGGTAGACTTGCAGGAGCACATCTGAAAGAAAAGACAGAAATGGGCCATGCGTTGAGATGTCGATTGGTTCTTCTAGCTGAGCAAGTCGGTCACATATGTTTCAGCACCATCGATCTGAGTAGCATTTTCAGCTCATAACAGTAAATATCCTGTTGGCGAATTATGAACTACAAGCAAACCTAGAGATGGAGATTCAATCCGTAATTCAGCAGCCAACCTGACCTGCGGGTAGTTGGAACTATTGGACCACTTGTTCTTTTCCTGGATAGAGACGAAACCATAACCACATGGCTTGTTCGGGATTATGCCTAGAGTTACTATGCGTTCCGAAAAGGATAGCCGCCAAAAATTCTCTCGGCGTAAGATATCAGTGCGGTGGGCTTACAACTAAACTTCATTCTTTTTAACTTCACGTCAGTGGTTGCTCAATCGTTGATGGTGGTACACATCCGGGCCACACGAATTCTTCGTGAATTCCGGCCTCCGGAGCAAGTCAACATCTGTAGAGTACTCTTCAGTTAGTCCGACAAGATGCATATAGCTGATCGCCGGCAACTATTACACACCTAGTACTTTGGTCTGCTTTAGGAGAATCTGTCAGTAATCGCAAAAAATGCCGGATCGTTTCAACGGGATCAAAGAGTTGACGCATTAATACTTAGACATATACACACAGAGTATAATGGCAGCACCGTTCGGTCAACCAACATTGGTGCTTACATATATATATATATATATATGTTTATATATGCTGAGGCTGATATTGCATTCATGATGCATCTTTACCGCAGTTGTACTACACCAATTTGCCTTTGAACTAAGTATTTTAATCTGGATAAATCTCATTCCACTTTATTTGGTTTGTTCTAACTACTAGAATAATCTTCTATTAACTTGCCACGATGCATTTGCTGTGTGGACACATCCTTTAACTTTGCAACATTGTAGCATTTTTTGAGTAACTTCCGGACATTTTGTGCCAATCGCGGATCCGTTGCTAACCAAATGACTTCATATGCTAATTTAGCGAAGAGTTATGTCGGCATAGCCGTATGCTTTCACAGATATATTTTAGTTGATAATGTCATTACAAGTGACTGGTTGTTGTTTGATATCTGCAGTGTGGCTGCGCTTGATGTGCATGTTGACAAGGTGCCTACCTGTCTATTACCCACTACCTCGTCCATACTGGCTCCAGGAGACAGTTGGTCGTTGCTGGAGGGGACAGGGTGCACGGTCCTTGTGGCCGTGTTAGGCTCGAAGAGTGGTTCTATGCAGTCAGTGTGGAGCGGACCACGGTCCGGCCACCGCCTTGTGTGCGCTTGATTCCCAAAATACAGCGTGCTTGTGTTTGCCTGTGAAGGAGTGTGGGCCGGCTCCGTTGATAAAACCTGGCTTCCATCCGCATGCCTCCCGGTATTATTCCTCCGGGTTTACACTGGATATGGGGTGTGTGGTTGGAGCTGTGGGTGGTGCAACGCAAGCCACCCATTGTGCATCTGCAGGTGCGGGCGTCCTGTGGCTGCCCACAGTGTCAGTCAAATCCGAAATCGGATGAAGCCAACTATATATATATATATATATATATATATATATATATATATATATATATATATATATATATATATAATGGATAAACCAGATTACGTTGCAAAGGCCAAACAACTCCTTTCCGACACGACCACCTACCGCCCCATAGATCAGGATCCCAGTACAAAACTGAATACTCAAATCAACACAGTATTGAAGAAACCACAAGCAACGAGTGAGATTACCAAGCAGGAGGGATGTAAGATGAAAGCTGAGAATACGAACATTGCAAGGTTCCATGCACTTCCAAAGGTACACAAAGACGGAGTCCCATTGCGTCCAGTCGTCGCGTTGCCAGGACCCCCATCGTACAAATTGGCAAAATGCATGTGGAAGAAATTAAAACATCTAATTGCCGGATCTGAACTAAGCATCAGTGCTGAACAATTCATCAAAAAACAGAAGTGTGTTACAATAGAGGAAGATGAAATCATGCTGTCGTTTGACGTCACCGCACTCTTCACGTCGATCGGTCATGAACTTGCAAAAGAAACCATGATGGAATTACTTCGAAATCAACCGAACACTATAGGAAACCTCAAGCCGGAGAGCATATGTGAACTGTTGGAACTCTGCATGACTACTTATTTTTATTTTGATGGGCAAGTATACCAACAACTGTAAAGAACGCCCATGGGATCGCCCATCTCAGGACTTATTGCAGAAGCTGTGATGCAAAAACTGGAGAGTATCACCATACCGTTAAGCAAACCAAAAATTATGGATCCGGTATGTGGACGACACGTTTGTCATCATCAAACGAGATTCCATACAGAATACCCATGAGTTAATCAACAACACATTCCAGGATATCAAATTTACAATTGAACTCGAAAAAGACAACCAGTTACCATGCTTAGATGTACTGGTCCAAATAAACACTTCAGACATGTGTATATCGAAAGAAGACCCGCACAGACCAAATATCAAATTACCACAGCAACCATTCACAGAATCACAAGAAAAGCAGCATTCAAAGCCTTTTCAATAGGGCCGAATCAGACTGCAGCACGACAGAATTGAGGAAGAAGGAAGAGAACCATCTATACCGGGTATTGCAAAATAACGGGTATCCAAGAAACTTCATCAGAAGAAGCCTAAAGAAGAGGGTGCATCAACAACAGCGGGAAAACATAGATAAACGGGTAGCGCTTCCTTACATCAAGAATGTGTCTGAACTAACGTCAAGATTGCTACCACCACATAGAATCTTGGTAGCCCACAAACCAACTGATACTTTGCGAAGATTGCTTTCAAGACCGAAGGACAAAGTCGAACAAGACAGTCAGAATGATGTCATCTATAAAATTAACTGCAAAGAGTGATAAACACGACATCGGGTAAACTGGAAGGAAACTTTCAACACGGATCAACGAACACATAATGGTCATACGGAGACACGACCCGCATTCACTGGTTTCCATGCATGAAGACCAAGAAGGCCACCACTTCGACCTAGAGAACGTTAAGATCCTAGCCCGTGAAAATTCAAGGCAAGCTAGAGAATTCTTGGAAGCATGGTATTCTACAGATAATTCAATAAACCGACACGTTGAAATAGATGCTATATATACAGCGCTACGGATGAAAGATCACCGAATTAGTAGAATAATTTTAACGGAACAGAACGCCAGACAACCGCATCAAATGACGACGAACAAAGAGGCACGCGCGCATACACTACGAGGTGAGAATCAGAGCTCGATTTCGATGGTCATGTGTTCGTCGAACAATCCGAACCCAGACTAGAAGATCGATCACTCACACTCACTGACGCTTCGTAGGCGCCGCTCTGCTAAATAAACGCGCACTGACGATGTCACCTCGAGTGGTGACGAAACGTTTGCAGTCAAACTGCCGAGCTCAGCGAACACTCAGACCATCAACTGAACAACCTGAGCTACAACATTTGCTTCTATATATATCACAATCTGTGTACAGCCATTGTGCCATCGGAACCATGGCGGAATAGGAAAGCAGGGTTAGAGTAAAAGAAGAAAGAAATCAACTTTTTGTCCATTTTTCCACTCACAGTTTTGGGTTTTTTTGATATTTTTTATTGGGGGAGGGAAGGGGAATCACCGCAACAAGGAAAGATACAGTGGTGCTTAACGTAGAGGAGACTCCAATAATATCCATCGACGAACAAGCTGAGAAGCAGAAGATAAATGTTGACGATGTGAATATTCGGAATTCCAGGCGTAGGCCTTCGACTGCATTAATAACTACCGGATAAGGAGTGGATCTATTCGGTGTTGCCCTCCAAAATTGATAGTTGCTACATAGCAAGAGTGAGAGGCAAGTATAGAATGAAGACTAATTTTCGGTGACACTCATAACTCTGAACTGTACATAGTTGGGATTGTATGCTAGAGGTGCGTCGTTGGACCAATTCCGTCTGGGATGAATAACAAGACAAAATCACCACTCAGTCAATCGTGACATTCTGTGTGTATCTGAACCCTAGTTATCGCACATTTGCTGGTCAGCACTGAGGTTTCCGAGAAAACATGACACTGCACAAATAAGGTTTTCGTAACATTGTGGATATATTGTATCAACTGAATGTCAAGAAAAATCAACGGTTGATATGAACTATTTAGTAACAGTTTCGGTGACATGACCTGGCAACATACTGTATGTTGCGTACTGAGGCGCCGCGAAATAAGTTACAAAAGTACAAGTGGGGACGGCTACATTCTGTACATTACTAGGTCTGTTGTGATTCGCCCTTCGGGTAGATTCCAAGCAGCTTGACTTCCCAGTCGGAGAAAAGATAATTCTGCATACAAAGTTCTCGGTATGCTTCATTTGATCTTCACGGGGTCGTTGTCGGATTGCAACTGTGTAGAGTGCTCATGCAGTTTCTCACAATACTTCAGACAAGCGAGAGTTCACATTGCGATATCAGTGATAGTTTATCGGCGACTCATCGAGTTTCCACCCGAATCGCCTGTGGTAACTAGTTCGGTCAAACCAAAGCGAGAGAAACATCCCACTGAAGCGGTTTCACTTGTATCAGCCAACCAGGACAAGGTTTCACTGCAAGTAGAAACACCGAAAACCGCCGATCCAGTCCACAGCTTTGTCTTGTTCCAAATTTCATTGTCAAGTAAAACGCATGGTGCTACTTACAACCCACCAGTACCTATACGACAACGATGTAACAGACGCAGGCTCACTGATAGGGACTGAAGCGTCCTTAGGAGCCCAATATAGCAATGGTTGAAAATACGAACAAGAAAGTAGATGTGAACAGCATGGATACATGGGGTGGGATCGGTGGTTGCCCTGCTGAGAGAACGGTGAGCATGCGCAGGCAGAAGCGCTGGAAGTTTGAAGCAGCGCAGATGGCATCACTGATGACCGCTGACCCGATGCCCCCACCAGTTAAAACTTCATAGAGAAAGTTACTAAAGCTATTACCCAAGGAGATGCTCTGATTGGGGTAACATTAGAAAGTGTGAAGCCACCCAGAAGATGGTATTACGCAGAAAATCGAACAATGCTAAAAAACAAACACAGCTTGTGTGTGATAACACCAGGGATGAAGCTAAGGGACTTGCTTCTGTTCACTCATACTTCCGTTTAAGCGTCTGTACTACCAGTAGATATATGGAGTAAGTTCCTTTAAACAGTGACAAATTTGTGTAAAATGTAGTAAATATTAGCAACCAATTCTTAAGGAACCTTACCACGAGTTTCGAGGCTCAGTTTTGTCAAGTTTAACCCGTGGAGCAAGGTGCGGTGATCCAGTTGCCTTGACACACATCGTAAAATGATACTATTAATGATAAAGACAGCAAGCAGGAAAACGAAAGGCGCCAACTCGACCTTGAACCTCGGTGTTTTTACATATTTTGCCACGTCACTGATTGGCCACCTCGGGGTTTCACCCACCTGGACACAATGCTGGCAAACAGTACACGCAGAAGCAGTTGGCTTGCGGAACGCATGACCGAACGACGCAGGGCGAATCGAGCTCAACAGACACTAACGAGGCACCTGAATGCCAGCTGCTAGGTTGCGAATGACGAACTTCAGTGTTAATTATTCACTAAGGTAGTGATTGTATGAATCATGCGTTGGGCTTATGTACTCTAACAAGCCGTAATTACGTCACCTCGAAACAACTCAAGTCGATGACAGAATCCGGATGGAGTATAGAAAGATGCTAATCACAACATTGAAGTCAAATTTCTTCAGTGCACAACATATTATATCTATTAGCCGCTAATTTGACGTACGGTTCCAGCATAAAGTGGAAAACTCGCATGACCCCGACCTCTAAGTCGGGGATAGTTCACATGTATGACTACTTGTGGCAACATGTATGAGACTGATTTGCTCCAAGTGGGTTAATCCCTACTCAGTTGTACTGACTTAGAGTGCGATGTATAGATAACCTGTCGGTACAAGAGTATCATAACAGTAGTTTCCTGATTTTTATAGTCAATGAGTTGAAGAAATCGTCATTCCGAGGTTAGCTATGTCCAACAATTTTACAGATTTCATATAAGTTACCGATATTACTTGCTATCAGAGTCCATCAGAAAGAACCTTAAAGGATCTCCAAAAACATTTTACTAACACATTGAATCTTTCATATGTTTGCGGTTGTGTATTATGTACTATCTGCCTTTCTAGGTTTTTCGGTCTATGCACGTGCGCTATTTCTTGCAAGCGTCTCTTTCATAGCATAATTCTGCTTGTGGCGATCGGACCAAGGCTCACACACCTTTCGGAAGCAATGTTTGAGACCAAGCGCACCAAGGGCATTTTTGCAAGCCCTTGAAGTTATTTCGAAGGATCGCCGTCTCCAGTGCCCATTGTGTATCAAATGGAGCAAAACCGAATTGCTGCATTATTTAGTTTCAAGATGATGCATATTACATCAGCAACTTACCTTGGAGCATTCAGGACATCGGTAATCCATATGTGCAATATGCGGACAGCGATGACCAGCCAGTGTGTAGGCGTCTCGGAACAACACTCCACAAAGCCGGCAGACGTAGTCCCCAAGAAGATTCGGAATTTTCTCCAAACAAGCACAACTGGGTACATTCGGTACGACGCGGTTTGGCAATGTCTTTGAATGGGTGATACAATTCAGAGCGCAGGCTTCCATATGAACAGCATCCTTGTATCGATGAGGCGGGCGAGTCTTGAAAGGCCATTCGCGTAGTCGTCTTGCTGTCATCGGAAACCTATTGGTGTTATCTATCGTTTGTTGCATCTGGGGTTGTGAGCTGCTCGGAAGTCTCTCCTCAGTGCATTTCGTGTGCGATGGCAAAGATGCATGCAATAACGTCATTCCTTGACCGGTCGATAAACACTCATGCTTCGTGGCTGGCCACATCTTTGAGACCGTCTTCGAACTGACTGAACCAAGATTGCTCCTCGACGATTCTTCACATGGAGTCTGAGTCCACAATTGCTTGGACGATATGAGGGAATCGACCGTCAGATAGTGCGCGTAATCCAGTTGTCCGGCAACTGGCCAGAAGTTGGCTGCAACATGTGTTCTGTAAGGTCGCAGGACACTCTGATACTTACTCAACAGCCGCTGCAAACTAACTTGAAGGAAACGGGTTTGCTGATGATGCGATGAAATCAGATACGTCTCAACAATATGATCCATTGAGTCGGACATAGACTGCCTGGTAAAAGGATGTTGCGCTGACACACCAGACTTCAACGGTGGCACAACATCAGTTTGCCGATGCATGTGCGATGAAAATGTAATCAGTGAATCGGTTGTCCTCGCGACGTTACCAGACTTGAGCACTTGGTGAGATCGTAAGTGCAGTCAGTGAGCAAAGAGTTAGCCACAGGTTGTTTGATGTTCAACTACCGTGGTGGCGGTTGCTGCACTGGTAAGCGATCGGAGAATGGTCAAACGAACGATAGGCGAACAGTTGGATAGGAGGTCCAGTTGCGAATTCCGTGCTGTCCTGTTCGCCCTTACCGTGCAGATCCTCATTCAACAAACGCATGCTGGGTAGGGAAATCAGATGAAGTTACAGGAGATTCATGATTACAGTGTGGGAGGGGTGGTTTTCCCAGCAACTTCCTCCGGTAAGATTGTGCTGTTGGTATTTGCTCATTCCTCGCTCTCTGTCCACGCGTACTGCTACCGTCTAAGGAAGCAGACATTCAGTGACTGCTTCTATTCACAAGGGACACAATAAGCGTACACACTTCACATAGACACGCCAACACTGTTCTACTCGGGACAGGGGAGGAATGTAGAGATGATGCTTGCATTTGTTGAGGACGGCCAATCCGCAGCCGTTTCACGGAAAACCGATTGCATGCATGGACTCAAGTGGCATCGGTTGGGACATATCCAACTCATAAGTAAACTCAGAGTAAAATGCAGGGTGCTTTTGTAGCAGTTGGTGCGTTGCGGAGCTAAGGAACAGAAGTTAGCACGTAGTGTGGACCATTAACAAAGGCTTTCAGACACCGATACCACAATTTTTAATCAAAATTCACTATTAGGCAAAGTTGCCAGTGAGTAGGAATGTGAGTTGGAATGGCAACTGTGCATTTACCGGCGTCCACACATAGGGGCACTGTTTCCGAGTCAAACCACAAGGATAGAGTGTGGTAGTTATGACTGAGTTTCGTGAGTTAGAGAGGGAGCGGGAGACCACAGGGATCCAGTACTATCGTTTGCTAGAGAGCAAAGTGGTCATATTGGTACAATTCCAACAGTGAGAAGATATCTGGTGGACATTTGGGAAATGGAAAGCTGTGACTCGGATAAAAAATAGCATGATGGCGGATAAAATTTCGTATTTAATCTATCTACAAAAGAGTTAAACAATCGAAGACGACACATAATGATGAAAAAGTGGCGATGCACGGGAGGTGGAGCATAACTTGGAGACGAGAACCAGCGGGGCACTGAGCAGTCTTGAGCCAACACAGCTCCTTGGTCAATAGCCAAATGGTTTGAGGACTAGGGAGATAAGTAAATCTATCGGACATCCATTTTCGTCGCTCTGTTTTTCTCGTTACTCCAGATGCGTGATCCAGTGTCCTTCAAATCGACAGAGACAAGTCGATTGACAAGTGTATCAGAGCTGGCTTAACAGTCATACGAACGTTAGATCGAAGGAGCTAGACGACGCAGTCGTGATGCGGCTAGTTGATTCCAGCCCCGCAGTTGAAATGTGCGTGAGAAGTCATAATAACAGACGATTGCGGTGCAATGGACTGAGGTACGGTTTACAGGTTGGTGAAGAGAACTCTCACGCACTAGCAACACGCCAATATTTTAAAGCGGAGAATATAGGTGAAACAGGGTTCCATGGGAAACTGAAGTCCAGATCAGAATGCGGATTGAAATCACCCACAAAGAACGAGGTAAAAATATTTTATGACCTGTGCATCCAACGTGAGGCGTCTGAATAGTGGACAGGTTCCTAAAACTTCAATGAGTACGTAGTGTGTCCATAGCACGCTAGAGTGACATTCGACTGGCAGGGAGCATTGGCGAATGCGGAGAGCTCGTGGGATAAAGAAGGCCAGCACCCCATAGAACACCACCTCTGTTCCAGCTCACTCGTGGCCCACATCCAAGAACTTAAATGAGGCAATTACTGAGAAAGGTGGACGGCGGGGTGGAGCACTGAATGCTAAGCGGAACAAGTTGTAGAGTACTCCAGTCCGGTACGGTGCGTCAGGATTCCTAGCGGTCAAGAGTGGTTTCGATGTCGCTCGATCCAAATACTACACGGTGCGACCGGGTTCGTCCTTGTTTGGTCTCTTTAGGTAGAGCTAACCGTAGTTGGGAGTGGGACGCCGGAAGCATTGGTTGGCAGCTGACATATTAATCACTAGGTCGATGAGGTCCGTAAGGAATTCTTGATATAGCGGCTAAAAGTTAATTTTTGAGCTTTGGAGCACCCGCCGTGTGTCGCGGATTGCGACACGCAATCTCATTTGTGGCATCGGTTGACTTTGAAGTCAACATTTACCATTCGAATCATTGAGACCGTATCCAAAGAAAAGCGGTTCGGCGTTGCTTTCTTTTATTCCTGCACTCCGCGACGCGTTTCGTCCTTGGATGGACTCATCAGGTAGAGATAGCCTGAACCGGGAGCGCGGCTCCGAACATAATGATTGGCGGATATCGCCATGATCACTAGGCCGCTGAGTTCCGCGAGCAATGCATGACACGGCGGCTAAAAGTTCATTATCAGGTTTTGGATTAGGACACTCAACCTCAGTTGGGGCCACGGTTTACACTGATGTAAACTCCCGCCATTACGACCACCGGAACAGCATCCAAAGTGAAGTGTTTGCTCGCTCCTACCACAAAGCACGTACCCCAAAACTCACAGTCATACAAACTCGCCTGGTACGTTGATGTAACAAGTCCCAATAACGACGAGATCCGGTATGAAATGGTGATGCCGAAGCGGAGCAAGGTGCCTAACCCCGATGATCTCCATGCATCATTGTAGCAAAACGATTGCGAGTAACTAGTGAAGGCTTTGGAGAGTTTCGTCAGAACAGACCGGAAAAATGAGGAAGTACCATATCACAGGGTGCTGGCAATTGTCATTGTAATCTTTAAGAAGGACTAGAGTGTATTTTAAGAAAATAAGTCTATAAGCCCTATCTTCATCATATCTGAACGATTTGTTTGCACCGCACATCTGAGACCGTAAGTTTAACTCAGATCATCAGTCTTCTGTCCCGGTAGTTCGCGTGCTGGACACAGTTTTGCTCTTTGCGAGGTGCCCGAAGGCCATTATACTTGCATCCAGTAAAGTGCAGCCGTTTGTGATTATGCGTATTAAGGGCGCAGTAGAAAAGCCTCGTTCTATCCTGGAAACCCTACAACACAACGCCTGGGAGCGTGTAACATTGTACTAGATACTATTCACTGAGTTCACAGCGACAAGTGGTGCGCTCGGGGCTAACCTAACTTTCCCCTTCTTGAGTTCACGACCGACCGCACATGACGATCTCCTGACTTTTCCCACTACGCTTGGGGTGGCGGCTATGCTGGGTAGCCGGAATAGCTCTGTGAGTCGGATCCCGCAACTATGTAAATTCCACAGAACAGGCTGTGTAGCGCGGACCGATTAGCATATGCCTTGTACCTACAGTGTGCAAAACACCGTTATCGGACTGGGTCCACTCCCGTCAAGTTTTCAACATTGCCCGAAGTAATCGACCTGTCCACCTATCCAGTAGCTGTAGAACGTCTGACAGTCGAACCGACGAAAAAGCTACTGCATAAAGTACTAAGGCTCGTGCGGCTTCACAAATCCTATGTTACTTATGGAGATTGTGGGACAGGTTTACCACGCTACGACACGACCAGGTGAATACACAGGGAATCAGACAACTGAATGCGCTACCCACATTGGTTTAGTTTGAAAGGCTGCGTATTGGAAGGATAAGTGAAGCATTCTACTTACGCTTTAACTATGTTGTATGGAATCCTGAAACGGATAATCGTTCCGCCTTAGACTTTCTAGCACCGGTTCGCACGACGCCAACGGAAGGCATCTGTAAAGTAAATAGGGCAAGCCAACGTGGTCTTCTGAAAGGCAAGAGATTCGTGACGCTTAGCATAACGCAGATGAAGAGAAATGCAACCGAAGTGTTGAGTCTATGGAATGGATATAACAGTTACAGGAAGAACGCATTTAACGAAACATTGGGCATAAGCTCGTATAACCAAAGGGCGAGATGAGGGAGCAGTGAGCTACCTGACCTGATGAAATGCATAAGAGAGGCCACTGAACTGAGGCTAACCAAAGGGGCAGATTCAGGCCGGAACGTCTCCGGAGCATTAGTGATTTTCATCCAAGTGAGCAAACATCAATGAAGAGATTGCCTAATGACGAAGTGAACACCTAGCATTGCCAATGATTGATGTCGGGCGAGTGTTTCGGGGATGAATGCATAGTGTCTTGATATCTGAGAATGCACTGCTACAGACAGATGTTGAGCGCATCACCGGGTTCTTTGAAGTACACTAATGGGAGTGGCAGGTTAGTGACTTCGCTGAGATAGAGGCACAAAATAATACGACATCGCGTGTTGAAACGAAGGGTGAAAAGGAGGCCAGCAGGCGAAGAGCAGTTTAATGGTGCGCGAAACCCACTGAAATGTGTTCATTTGGTGTGTGTGTGTGTTAACGTTAAACAACCACCCAGTCCTCAGGAATACACATCTCCGGATAAAAAGGGCCATTGAGAACAGGGCGACCAGAGATACTAACCGTGGGCAGGGGTTTAACATTCTCAGCTCGCATCTCAAAGATCAGAGCCTGAGGAAAGGAGACAATTGCCGACAGTGGCAGACGACTGGCTCCATCTTGGGCCCACTGACCTGTAGGCCAAACTGATTATTACAAAGAGCCATTCGACTCGACCGTTGTTTAATTATACCTAGTAAAGGGAGGTAGTCTCACTTCGAGTGTTGGTGCTGCAGGCTAACAACCGATGAAATTGGATATAAATGCAGCCCCGGAACCTATAATGTTCCTGGTAGTGAAGCGGTGGGAGTTAGCCAGACCCCGACGAAGGCGATGTAGAGCACAAAAGAAGAAGAAGGACGACGGATGTGTGGCTGCAGCTGGCAAATCAGAAGAGTGGATCAAAAATGGAGCCAATGATCAAAAGAACACATAGTAGCACGCCCACTACGGAGGGAAAAATACGTACTGCCAACGTTGAAAGATATGCTGCTCATATC